TTAAAAAACTTTTGGATTACTCCTGCGTAGGTTTTTGCTGAGTCGAACTTGCTGATGTTTCGCCAACCATTCTGTTGGCTGCTTCAGAGCTTGACTGAAACTGGCTCGTATTTTACTCTGTACCTGCTTATATATTGTTTGAGGGGGGAGGAGCTAAATGACGGGCATAAACACCGTCTCGGATGACTAATTCCCATATTGGTGACAGGTAGAGATCTGAGTCGCTGTTCAGATTGTTAGGTTGTTTATATATATATATATATATATATATATATATATATATATATATATATATATATATATATATATATATATATATATATATATATATATATATATATATATATATATATATATATATATATATATATATATATATATATATATATATATATAACATCTGTTGGAATGGAATTTACCACGGTCCTGCGAAGGTCTGCAGTTAAGGTACTGTAAAACTCTTAAAACGTCAAAGCAATAAATGCACTACAATTTTTGTCGTATTATATTTTGTGTTACTCGCATATCCATCATCGTCCGTTTGAAGAGCCGTTACAGGCATGCATCGGTCGGAATCTAATCCGCGGTAACCGACGCAATTCGAAACTCGCTTTAATTAAACCTGCGGAAAACTGGTTAAATTACTCGCTCAGATGTTTGCGTGTGCACGGAAAGTCGAATGCGATTTTATGGTCCTCGGGAGTCCTCAAGTTGGGACTCTCGGTTAATTCGTTACACACACTCCCGGCTCCGCCTTCGTTGCAGCCGTTCGTCGTCCCGCGTTGATTAGAGACCTTATTTAACTGTAAACAGCCGGTAAAACAGGGCGCCGCTACGGCGACGGAAGCAAATTAGGCGCGCTGCCACCTACATTTGTTTCGGGAAATATTACGTTATATGGTCCGCGCTGTTTGGACGTTTGCCTCACGCGCCAAGTGGTTAATTAACGAGGATTAACCCCGCACGAGAGGAAGGTCAAGGGGTTACTTAAAAGATGCGCCTCAAAGTGGAGGAAGTAATGGGTGTTTTTTTTCGATGTATAGAACTTTAAGTTCGCATTACTGTTCAAGATGGCGACCGATTTAACAGCTGTCAAGTGATTTATTCTCAGTTTGGTTTGGCAATTCATCATGAATAGACCCACGCCTGAACAAAGCTTGAAAATATTGCAATTTTATTTCGAAAATAATGGTTCTGTGCGGAATACGTATCGCGCACTACGTCCATTTTATCGTCGACAAAATCGTCCATCAAAGCAGTTGATTCGATTAACCATGGAACGTTTTCGCACCACGTTTACTCTTATTGATAACTCACATCCCCAGAGACGGCGCACGGTGCGTACAGAAGAAGCTATTGCTGCTGTAGAGCGTAGCATTGCGGAAGACCCGAATGAGTCGATTCGCCATCGAGCACAGGAATTGTATCTGTGTCCATCCACTTTATGGAAGATTTTGCGGAAGGATCTTGGTTTACGTGCTTGCAAAATCCAACTCGTGCAAGAATTGAAGCCAAACGATCATCAAGTAAGGCGTAGATTCGTCGAAAGGGCCCAAAACGAGATTGCCGTTGTTCCCGATTTTCATAAGCGAATTTTGTTTAGCGATGAAGCGCACTTCTGGTTGAATGGCTACGTCAACAAACAAAACTGCCGGATTTGGAGCGAAGCTAATCCTCAAGTGTATGCCGAAACACCGTTACATCCAGAAAAACTGACCGTTTGGTGAACTTTATGGGCCGGTGGAGTCATTGGTCCGTTCTTCTTCAAAAATGATGATGGCCAGAACGTTACAGTCAACTCTTTCATTCCTGAATTGAATAACCATGATGTCCAGGAGATGTGGTTTCAACAAGACGGCGCAACATGTCACACAGCTCGTGCCACAATCGATTTATTGAAAGACACTTATGGTGACCGCCTAATTTCACGTTTTGGACCTGTGAATTGGCATCCAAGATCTTGTGATTTAACACCGCTACACTACTTTCTGTGGAGCTATGTAAAGTCATTGGTCTATGCGGATAAGCCACAAACGCTTGACCATTTGGAAGACAACATTCGCCGTGTTATTGCCGATATACGGCCACAAATGTTGGCAAAAGTCATCGAAAATTAGACGTCCAGAGTGGAGTACATGTGGCCGTGGCGGTCATATTCCAAAAATCATATTTAAAATGTAATGCCACAAGATTATCTTTCGGATAAATAAAATTCATGTCAATCGAATAATCCATCGTTGTTTTATTGCAACTTAAAGTTCTATACATCGGAAAAAAACACCCCTTATATATGCATTCTTCTACTTCCCACTATTATTTGAAAAATTATAAACATTACCGTTGTTTTAAATGAAACTAGAACTATTTCAATATAATTAAACCCGTTCTTCAAGAATCCTATAATTGTTTCAATTTTTCAAAGCAACTTTTACAGGCTACTCTAAAACTAGTTACACTAGCCTGCTTCTTCAGAGGTTAAATGAACCTGGTCTCGGATGACTTATTCCTAAATTTTGTTAATAAAACAATTGATTAGATTGAAGGATTTTAGATTTATCGAATAAGATGTGCTCTTTCCACATCCATGAAATGCTCTAAACTGCTGGTAAGGTCTGTTCATAGATATAAGAAAGTGACTAACTGATACGAATTAAGGAAAGAACCGGGCAAGCTGTAAGAATGAAATATGGGCGAACAGGTCCGTACTTTGCTAAGAATTTAATTATTTGAGATTTTGTTAGGAAAGGTACTAAACAATGTTTATTTATTTATGTATCTATTTATATTTAAATCTAAATTAAAATTACAAATTATTTTTATTACCTACTTAAATTACTTCAAATTATTCACAATTTAATATATCACTATCATTATCGCTATCATCGTCTGTTCTAATTATTATTTGTTCTATATTATTTGCAATATTGCAATACGATTGTTCTGCTTTTTCTATATGTTTAACAGAATTTGCCCAATTTTGTGGAGGGATGTTAAAAACTTCGGTTTCTATAAGCTTGAGGACGTTGGAGTTAACACGGAGATTAAATATACAGTGGTAAGGTGGAAGCCTTAAAACTGTATGCCTTAGATTTTTTGCATAATTATCAAAGACGTATTCCTTTTGTAGGTTCAAGCTTTGGAGAACCTCAATTAATTGCTTTTTGGTATAATCTTCGTGAAAATAAATGTCGTTATTATAAATGTAGTTTCGGATTGTTGCAAAATACGCAAAGTACACATACAGACAGGAATAAGACAAGGCTACAGCCTGAGCCCTTTTCTTTTCAATCTGATTATGGATAAGCTAATATCTGAAGTGTAGAAGATTGGAAATGGATAGGGGTCAAAGAAATAAAAATAATCTGTTATGCGGACGATGCCGTGATGATATCGGAAGATGAGAACAACCTACAGAGAATGTTCAAGGCAAAAGCTTTATAAAAATAAGAAGAAGAAGAAAATTGTTAACATTAGTTAATCGAGTAAAGCAATTTTATAAATACTTAAAAATTGTTAACATTCACTTACTTATAGTTTATAAATGATGCTCCTCTTTATATACTAATAAATTACGTACTTGAAATATGCACACTATAATATGTAAAGTAAATGAAATCAAAAACTCAATAAATAAAGTCCTTTTTCCTTATCTACATATTTACACCTATCTACAAAGATTCCCATGTCATTTCATTAACTCAGGTTAAATACAATTTCGTTACCACTCGCAATTACATGTTTTTCAAAATTCTCGACATTAAAAATAGATTGTCTTCTTTTATTAAGTATAAATTTGTACAAGATGTGGCTCGTTTATGAGGCACCAGTACCTTAACTCTAAAAGAGATACTATACTATTTCTATGAACGCTAATTTTGGTTGGTTTTGGTTAGTTGCAACTTTGGTCGCAAATGTCCGCGTCTCTCATTTAATCTACGCCTATAGAGTTACGTAACTCTTTTCTTTAAAACGTACAAGGTTCTTATCTTATTGTCATTCCTTCAAAACGAAACCAAAATTACATAAGATAAGATACATTAAGATTTTATTTGGTTCCAATAGCTGTCCGTATTTCTAATTGACGTCACCAGTTTCTCTTATAAAAAAAATAAGTTGAGACGGTCAGTTTTGATATCTGCAATCTCACACACACGCCCGGCAACGGTGCATCAAAAATAGATCCAACCAACCGAAGAAAAATCTTGATCAACCGTGCCGGATCTTTTGCATTCAAACATCGCAAGAGTGTGGGAGACGTGGACTTTCATTCACAACTTTCAGTTATTATACGGGGTGTCCAAATAGTATATCAAAGTATAAAGTATAGTGTGTAAGCATTAATAAAGTTGTAGATGAGACTAAAGGTAACAATATAAAATTACTTTCAAATACACAGCGTGGTTCATGAATATATGGCAAAATAAGAGACACTCTCTTTAAATCGCCCAATTGGTATGGTCTATACTGAGTGTTCTCGGATTTATGGCGATTTTTTTGCGATCTGATCTATTTATAGTTCAAAAATGTTTTGAGCCTTAAAAAAGAGAAAATTTCTGATTTAATGAAAACAGAAAAATTAACCTATTTATTTTTACTTTTCTGCTTTTATTGCTATATTCTCTCATGGTTTGACAAATTTCCGTGGCTTTCGTGAAAATGTGTATACCTCAGAGAGTATAAAGTTTAGCTGTAGCTGTTTAAATAGATTCTTTGCTAAAATAACTATTTGGACGCCCTGTATAATTCGTATGACATCTGCGATTTGCGTTTGAGTATTCAAGATTCAGGATTGAAATTGGGATTTGTGATAGATAGCAAGTGGGTTCCTGGTGTAGCATATATGTGGCATTTTTCTCCTCTTTTTGGCAGAACCTGCAGTCAGTGTTTTCTCCCACTCACGTCAGTAGACCTACTCTTGTTCTTTTCCTTGTTCTTCTCTTGGCATGTTTCTCCACCATTTCTGGATACTAGAAGAGGGTTTTGCAATACAATAAACACACCACACATTTAACAGACTTTTATTGGTAGATTCAAGAGAGGGCAGTACACTTCGTAACGGCAATCAAGTCCGCGGGACACTCGACTTCCTGGAACACTACGTCCGGGTTATCGACACCTTCGAGAAACTCGAACCTCCAGTCGCAACCAGGTTGGAGAACTTCCGGTAGTTCAGAGCACTCGTTCTCAGAAGCTACACCGGTGATGGGATCGCCCCACCCATTCACTGTGGTGTTCCATTGGGTCATGCAGCCGCGCCTAAAGAGACCTACCCCTCCCCCGGGAATGGCGATATCGAAATGGTTCTGGTACAAGTCGCCGCCGGTGTTGGTGATTTGAGCCAGGAGATGTTTGCCCAGCAATCTGCCTTGGAACGAGAGCAAGACGCAACGACAACACTGACTGGTATCCGCACCACCTGCAACGTTAAATCTGCTAAGTAAACAAGTGGCTGGTCGAGTTTTATATTGTACAAAGAGCAACGTCTTTATTTAAAAAAAATAGTTACTTCTCATAATTTAAACCATATACAGGGAAATCCAAAAATATAGTGCGTTTTACAAAAATCTATTTTTTTATATGCTTATAACTTTGCTTCTATGGCATCTAAATTCTTCGTCTCGCCTTTTTTGGAAAGAAGGAGCTACCAATTTTATTATAAAAACGTATTTCTTTTATAAAGCACTAAAAAGCTAGACAAATATTTTTGTAGAATTTACTTAATTTTAGTCATTTTTGAAAAACTCAGTGGGTATTTCAACATTAAAAAATTGTCACCTCCGACACTTCATAAACAATTAAGATGGCTGACAAACTTAGCTATTAGGCTATTAATTTTTTTTCCATTTGTTTACTATGTGTTACATCTCGAGTAAAATTGTACTGATATGTCAAAAATACAAAAAAAATGTTCCTTGCGAAGTTATTGTAAAAATTATACTTGAAAAACCCCCTTAGCTCGGTACAATTTTTTTTTTAATGTGAAACCAGATTTTTAATATGCCCCAAAACCTGTACATTTTATCTCATTTGACTATTCTTGTAGTTCTTATAGTTAGCGAGATAGCAATGGCAATTGAGACACCCTATATAATACAGTGCAAGCGCTAAAGTTTGCACCATATGGCAACTATGTCTACCTTAAGATAATTTTCAAAAAATAAAAAAAATTGTTTTGAGGTTGAAAAAAATATACATCTAGTTAAAAACTGAACAAAAATTACAAAAACATTTAAAAGAATTTTTTCTTCCATATAGTACAACCATTTTCCGTATGCTCTGTACATAAACATCTTATAAATAGCTTTAGGATGAATTTTTAAAAACTGAAAGGCGCCGTCTAACCATCTCTTATTTTCTTAAACAAAATGTGACTCTACAGGATTTGGCCCGCTTCCGATATAATTTTGCGCAAAAATTTTTGATCTTCTATTCTATCCCCAAATGTAAATGTTCAATATTAGCAAGCTCTTTTACTTTTTTAATGCTTCTTGTGCCATTTTTGAATTCTATATTGGCAATCCCTCAATTTGTTTTAATCAAATTCGTATTGGACCCAGTTTTAGTTTAGTTTAGTTTTAGTTTTAATAAAAATTGCGGTTGTTATCTTGGTAGCAGATCGTAGTAGTTAAATGTTTATTTTTGGTGTACCTAATAATCCAGTAATTATAATGAGATTATTGGTAGAGCGAATACATAAAAACTTGTGTAAAAATTTCAAAAAATCACTAATCAGTATTAGGCAATCATATAACAAAAATATTTATAGTTCATTTTTTTTATAATTGCTTTTTGTTGGCATTTCATTTAAATAGTAGTAACATTTGTAATTAGACACACTTGTAGCCAAAATTTAACGCACAAAGATTACAACAAAACGTTAATAAGCGGACTCCTTTCTAAATAATTACGTGAATTTAATTTTAAAAATATTAATAAAATGTTTTGGTCCATGTCTCTGATTTTATACTAAGCCGTTCCTCTGTGCAACGGTTTGATTTACCAGTAAACGAGGCAGCTACAAATCCGTAGGAAAGGGTATCGTTGACCACCCAGGCTTGTTGGTCGTTGCACATGTAAGCTACACCGTCGTCGTCGCAACCAGACTGAGCGTTTGCGTCGATCGGATTCACACCATTGGCGGCGCATGTTTCGACTGGGGTTTTGACGTTGGTGCTTGGTACGAACCAGCCGCAAGATGGTTTACAACAATCCCAGTACCTCGTGGTGATACCGGTGCCGTTGAGACCTCCCGGGACGGGAACGATTTCGGGCGAGGAGCTCTGACCATAAGCCAGCTGGACTGGAAAGTTAAATGGGTCTTTTGGTGCCTTGGGCAACTCTTGCCTGTTGATGGTTAGGGTGGTGGCCCTTTTATGGTTTCTTCAATTACAGACGAAACATTTTGAGTCGGTTATAGAATAAAATTCATTATCTTATTGGTTTGCAAAAGTTATGAGGGAATGGCGTAAAAGTTATATGCAACGGAATTTGAGTTAGATGCTACAGGACATTCAAAATTGCCGGGTATATTTGGATCGTTTTAAATTGAAAAATCACGGTTTTCTTAAATGGCACACCATGTACAGGGTGTTTTCTAATTGAGTGCCAACAATTCATATGAACATATGCCCTAAAGGTATTAACTATTGAGATAAGGATGGTAAAATTTTTTTCATCTGTCTATTTTGGTACGCTTACTAATGGTACGGCGCTGATTTCTCTTAAAATTAAAATTATTTTCACAATTTCCAATCATTTTTAAAGAAATTTCATTTCTTGGTTTCTTTCAATCCAATGTACGGTTTTAGCTAAAAAAATAAAAACCTCTTCTCTGCATGATCATAACAATATCGTTAAGCACAATTTAGATTTTAATTTGTTGTTGAAAAAAAGAAATGAAGACATCAAATCTGGCCATAAATGAATGCAAATGTCTTTTTTTTAAGAAAATCAGTGGCGTGCCTGTCTATGAACAAATGATATTTTGGTTAATTTGGTTGTCACTGCACTTATTTTTAAAAAAAAAATATCTATCTAAAACAAAATATCCAGTTTTTAATTACCAAGTAGTGCCCTTAAGAAAAAAAATAATTTGAGGACTGGTCTTTTTACTTTTGCAGTTTTAATGAAATTACACAACATACTAGCCAAAATATAAACAAACGATTCTTAATTAAATTTATTTTATTTATTTAAGGTTACGTACATAACAGATAACAGATAATTACTTAAGTCAGAAATAGTAATGATGTCATATTAACGATATTGAGAGAAGAGTTTTTATTGTTTAAATCGAAAACCGTACATCAAATTTAAAAAATAGGAAATTTAATTTTTTTAGAAAAAATTGGAGATTGTAAGAATAATTTTTATTTGAAGAGAAATCATTAACCAAAATGTCAAATTATCAAATGTCGAAACCTTACCACCTTGTATCTCAAAAGTTTGAGGACATAATATGTTCATATGAATTTTTCTTTTTATATTATTTCATTTTTATATTATCTTTTCTAAAAAATGCCAATTTTTTTAAATTTCCAATATTTACCCATGTTTCTGTCAAACACTATTGCTAAAACATTTATTGACAGTCGAGAAAATACATTCATAAAATTTATTGTGGTGTCAGTGAGGCAAAAAAAAATTCTTTGCTGCCAGTAAGACTGTACAAGGCGAAGTAATAGACGTCTACGAACTAGATAACCTCTGCAGTGTTTAGTGGAAAGGTTTGATGCCATACCATTTAAAACCAATGAGATAATGAACTTTATTCTATCCTTGACTCACTCTGTACATACGGTTTGAAGAAATGCCTAAGGATTTTCAAGGAATTCTAAAAAAAATTAGTAAAATTCTGAGGAATTTCGAATAGTTCCGGTGAAATTCCTATAAATTCCAAGAAAAATAAATAATAACTAAAAGTCCTGATTTTCAGGAAATTATATATTTTTACACAACACCTTGTCTTTATCAAAGGTAGTATTTACAAACTACCTGCTACTATATATACCGAAAAATAACCATAAAACCTTAATTAATTTTGTTGTGAGAATTTAAGTTCCATAAAGGAGAGTAATTGATCGTTAAGCAATACATTCGAATATCTCATTTTGTTAATCTCCATGGCTTCCAATAAATTAAATTTTCAACTTTTTGTGACCGTATGTAAAATATCAAAATTGTCGTCAAAAATGTGTTTTTCTGTGGTTAAGTGTGTAGCATAATTAGAATCTAGACTATTGTTTTTAACGCTCTTTTATGTTCGTTAATGCGTTTTTTGAAGGATCTACCTGTTTGACCAATATAAATTTAAGGACAAGATCCGCATTTCAACCTATAGACACCAGATTTTTGGGATTTTGAACATTTGGTTTTATTGTTTTTCAAAAATTTTCCTAATGTGTTGTTAGTTCTGAAAGCAATTTTTGAACCACATTTTGACAAATGTTTTGAAACTTTTTTAACTGTTTTAACTTTTTTTAACTTTTTTTTCGTGTTCTGTATATGGTTTCGGATAAATAGAGTTCACTATTGTCTGGATTTGTTGTTTATTCATAATTTTATCTGTATTGGACGGATTGCAGTTGTTGTTCAATGCAATTTGTTTAATGATATTAAGTTCTTTGTTGTAATTTTCTGTTAAGAGTGGTCTTTTAAGAAATCTGTGTAGAAAAGAGTGAAGTGCAGCCATTTTGTGTCTATAAGGGCGATTTGAGCTGTAATATATGACTGTGTCCGTGGGTGAAGTTTTATGACAAATGGAGAAATCTAATTTGTTTTGCGTTTTCGTAATAGCTAAGTCTAAAAAATTAATAGAGTTATCCTGTTCAATCTCGAAAGTGAATTTTATACGATTATGCCATGAGTTATTGTAATTTAAAAAAGAATTCAATTGTCTGTCCGTTCCAACAATGCAAGCAAAGACATCATCCACGTATCTGTACCACCATGGAAAACTTTTACTTAAAGTATGTTCTAGTATGATATTTTCCAAATTATCCATAGAAATCTCGGCTAACAAAGGACTAAGTGGGTTTCCCATAATCAAATCAATCAAGATATAAATCTGTCCATTAAATTCAAAATAATTTTGGTGTAAAGATACTATCAAGCAATCTAATAAATCTTATTTCACCAATGGGTTAACTTGTTTCCGAGTTAGGGTGAAACCTACTAAATCTATTACTGGGAAATAAGTTTTATAGATCAATAGACAATACTGTTGCATTAGAAGAGATTTTGATATCTTTAATTTTGTTGATTAATTCAAAATAATTTTTTATTGCAAATTTTGATTTAAAATCTGTGTGGAACTTTAAAATATTTACTAATTTTGTTGAGAGTTTAACTGCTGGAGTAGTTACATAAGACACAACTGGTCTAATGGATATATCTTGTTTATGTATTGGGTTGTTCGGAAAGTCATTTCGTTTTTTTTGGGGAACATGAAAGACAGTTTTCGTATAATGAATAAATATTTTATTAAATTATATATTGGCCATTCTGGTCCAACACCTTTTGCCATCTTTCTGGCAGTAACATAATTCCCCTCTCATAAAAGTTTTGGTCCTTGCTGGCAAAAAACTGGTTCAGGTGGTTTTTGACATCTTCATTTGAGGTAAAGGTTTTGCCATCCAAAAAATTTTGCAGGGACCGGAACAAATAGTAGTCGGAAGGCGCCAGATCTAGAGAATATGGTGGATGTTGCAGTACGTCCCATTCAAGCTGTAAAACTTTTCCCCGAGTGACCAAACTTGTGTAAGGTCTCGCATTATCCTGATGGAACACTACACCCTTCCTGTTGATTAATTCGGGCCTCTTCTCTTTAAGTGAATCATTCTGAATTAATCGTTGTATTTTCCGGCAAAAGCTCAAAAAAAACGATTCCTTTGACATCCCACCAAACGGAGAGCATCACCTTTTTTTGGTGAATGTTGGCTTTTGACACGCTTTGAGCCGGTTCATCTTTTCTGCTCCATGACCTCTTGCGTTTAACATTGCTGTACACAACCCATTTTTCGTCCCCAGTAATAATCCGCTTCAAAAATGGATCATTTTCTTGACGTTTGAGGAGCGCATCACACACGTCAACGCGACGACACAAATTTCGCTCCGTAAGGACATGGCGCACCCACACATCGAGCTTTGAGGTTAAGCCCATGCCTTTCAAATGGCCATAAACAGTCGAATTCGACAAATTTAATCTCTCACCGATCTCTCGTGTGGTTATTCGCCGATTTGCATCAACTAATGCCTTTATCGCATCTTTGTCAGCTTCGACCGGCCTTCCAGACCGTGGTGCATCTTCGACATCAAAATTGCCGGATCGAAATTTTGCAAACCAGTTCTGGCACTGGCGTACTGTTAACACGCCTTCTCCATACACATCCGTCAATTTTTTTCTCGCTTGGACAGCATTTTTACCCTTTCTGAAGTAAAAAAGTAAAATATGACGAAAATGCTGCTTATTGCTCTCCATATTTAAAAGGGCACCAACCAAAAACTACTGCGTAGAATTAATAGAACTTTTTCACACACAAGCCTTGCAATATCAGCTCTCAAGACATATAATGGTTATGCGGCTTAAGTGTGAAGTTGGTTTCGAAAAAACGTAATTAAGTCCTCTGACGGGTAAAAACGAAATGACTTTCCGAACAACCTTATAATTTAAATAAAGAATATAATTTCGACGGTTGTGGATTCATAATTGTTGTTATTTGTCTTTGTCTCCTTTATTGAACTTAAATTCTCACAACAACATTAGTTAAGGTTTTATTGTTATTTTTCGGTACATATAGTAGCACGTAGTTTGTAAACATTACATTTGATAAAGACACGGTGTTGTCGAAACAATTGCCGTGTAAAAATATATAATTTCGTAAAAATCTGAACTTTTAGTTCATATTTATTTTGACAAATGGATTTTCATCAAGTAAAAGCTACCTCAGTTCAAATTCCTAGAAATTTGAAGGAATTCAGCAGAATTTCGAGGAATCATAAATACCAAACCAAACTAACCAAAACATGTCCTACGCTTATCTCGGATAACGGCTGAAGTGTTTTCATACCGCATTATCTATAGTTGATTTGTTTTTCGATCTTTGAATACGATTTTTTTTTTAATATAATTTGATAATTACATAACGAGTACAGGTTTAATATCCCCCCGCCATTTTTATTTTTTTAAACTTTCGAAGGAAGAGAAAACTTTTGGGGACAACATTTTGGCAATTTTAAGGCTTCCAAAAATTAAAACATGTTTATTTAATAATTACAGAATGAATTAGAAGATACACATGCTGCAGACGCAGCTCGGTTAATTTTAACCTTAAATTTACGTAGAAGTTTAGACAAGTTAAAGGTTTTAACAACTGTTATCGCCATGATCGCTTCACCGTTTCTTCACAAGCGTATGTAATTACGTGGTGAATTAACGAATTTCGCAAGCAACGTAAAAAAAGATATTTTAGTGGAACATAACCCGGAACTATTTTAATTAGAACGTTGTACTCACGCGATGCGAACAAAGCGAACAACACTTGAGCTTTCATTTTGAATTCTGATCAAATCGAGAAACGTATCCCTCTGGTATGCAGCTGATATTTATACCTCCGTTTCTCTCTAATCAGTTAATCGGTGATACTTGAAGAGGGAAGAGATATACCGGCAGGAAAAGTTACAGTCGCTGCGTTACTCTAAAGAATGGTATGATATACGTATAACACCATTTTGTTTTACAATATTATTTTACAATACCAAACATCCTGAAAATATTCTATTAACATTCTACAAACAGTTAGAATAATCAACGTCATATTCTAATATTCTAGAAGAATTCTTTACAAATTTCGTTTATTTAGTAAAAGAGTAGTTGTTTTCTGCTCATACTGCTCATTAGAGATATCAAAGTAAACAAAAATCAAAAAGTTTTTTTTCAAGTAACGTATAAAGCAAAACACTGTCAATTTTCTCACAGACATACGAGGGCAGCGCCAAAATTTCCCGGCCTGAATATGAAAGAAATATAGTAGAGTAACAATTTTTTATTTTTCAATATAATCCCCCTTAACTTCAATACACTTATTACATCTCTTTATTAACAACTCAATCCCTTTAAAAATATATTCTTTTGGTTTGTCTGCAAAACGAGCTAAAACAGCCTCTTTTAACTCAACTTCGTCGTCAAACCGCCGTCCAAGTAAGTCCTTCTTCAAATATCCAAACAAATAATAGTCGAGGATGATCTATCTGTTGGAACCCACACACAATCTAAAATGGCCGCTTGTGCAACACCAGCAGTATGAATAGGTGCATTATCGTGCAAAAGACGCACGCCTCTGGTCAGTTTTCCTCGACGTTTTACACGTATGCAATTTATGCAATAATGTTGCATAATATTTACCATTGACAGTGGTATTAGTTTCTTTAAAGTCTATCAAAAGAATTCCTTCACAATCCTAAAAGATCGTGGGCATTACCTTTTTGTTGACTGCCAGACTTTGAATATTCTTGGAGGTGCTTGACCCTTACGAAGCCATTCCATTGATTCTTTTTTCGATAGAGAACCATAGTTTCATCTCCCGCCACAATAGTTTCTATCACTGGCTTCGGTTTCGACCCACAGAGTTCCAAAAAAGACCGCACACACTCGGAACCCATCTGGCACTAACCTTATGCATACCTAAATGATCATGCAGGATTCGACGAACACTTGTATCAGAAATCTTAGTAATTTCTGAGATTTCCTTGACCTTTAAACGTTGATCACTCAATACCACCTCTTCCTTCTGGTGGCCTAAGTGCTTGGACGCCCGCGAGGGCGCCCCCCTTTAATACCAATACCAATACTAATACCACCTCTTCCACAATCGCAACAATATCATCCGTTATGACCTGCACTGGTCGACCAGTTCTTGAATCATCTTCAAGGGACTCCTGGCCCATTCGGAAAGGTTTTGCCCATTCTTTCACGTCAGAATACGAAGGAGACACGGTGTTGTCGAAACAATATATAATATTTCAAATATCATATCGTGAAAATCTGAACTTTTAGTTCTTATTTATTTTGATAAATGGATTTTCATCAAGTAAAAGCCACCTCAGTTCAATTTCTAACATGCTATTCAACGCTGCAAAAATGCAATATGGCGATCATAAGAAAAAATAAAGATGATGATGGCCATACCATGAAGCGTCAAAGGTTCCACTGAGAATGTATTTACAGAGTTTTGCTAAGTTTTAAAATAAAAACTTGAAACAATTAAAACGAAACCCGGAAGTTTCTGCCGTATTTCCGGAAGTAACGAAAATAAAAGTTTAATTTGAGACACATCTTGCTTTTCACTCAATCATTTTATTATTTTATTTTTCTGGTATAAAGAACACCTTGGAAGGTACCTAGAGGCCACAAAAAAATTTAATGTAAATCATGTTTGGAATTTTACCAAGGGAGCAATAAAAAAAATCCTGGCTGCTTTTATTACGTTTTATTCTATCGAATTTATTAAGAAAGGGACACGCATTTCGTAATGGCGGTCAACTCAGCGGGACACTCGACTTCCTGAAACAAGACGTCCGGATTGTCGACTCCCTCCAAAAACTCAAACCTCCAGTCGCAGCCCCTCTGAAGTGCTGCCGGCAGTTCAGAGCATTCCGCTTCCGACGTCACTCCACCGATCTCCTGACCCCATCCGGTTTCCGTGGTGTTCCATTGGGTCATGCACCCCCTCTTAAAGATACCAAGGCCTCCTCCGGGTATGGCGATGTCGAAATGGTTCTGGTACAAGTCGCTCCCCGTGTTGGTGATTTGCGCTAGTAGATGTTTGCCCAGCAATCTCCCTTGGAACGACAGCAAGACGCAATGACAACACTGGCTCAAATCAGAACCACCTAGAAGGCGGTATGAGTGAAATTACGTTTTTCTCTTTTAAATATATCAGTAACCGGAAAACGAGGCTGCTACAAATCCGTAAGAGAGAGTATCGTTGATCACCCAAGCCTGCTGATCGTTGCACATATAGGCTACGCCATTATCATCGCAACCTGATTGGTCGTTGAAGTCGATCGGATTGACACCGTCAATTTGGCAAGATTCGACCGGAGTTTTGACGTTGGTTTGAGGTATTTGCCAGGCACAGGACGGTTTACAACAGTCCCAGTACCTGGTCGTTACCCCTGAACCGCTAAAACCTCTCTGGACTGGGACGATCTCCGGAGAAGATTGTCCATTAGAAAAGGAACCTGAAACAAAAGTTTCAGACCTCTCACCTCATCAGCGTAGACTGACGATTTGGGTAATTTTATCCTAATCTTGGACCAAACACCAAGTCGGCCAAAATTAAATTCACTAGTACAATTTACAAATCTTCTGGAATCATCATTGTCTTCAAATATTGATGAAAGATAAGGATCTGAGCAGCGGTTAAAATTGTTTGGTCGTTTGCAGGTTTTTATATGGATTCTTGGATTTTTTTTGTGGTTGAAAAACTCTTAAGGCTCTTTGACGTTCTCTTAGCCTAGTAGATGTTTTTTGTCCTGTTTCTCCAACGTTATCTTTGCTGAATATGCAACAAATACTGTAAACTCCTCTGTTTACAAGATTGTTAAAATGCACAATTTAATATTATTTTCAGGTACACAGGGCGGTTGGAATACGATACATACAATTAATACATCAATTAATTGATGTATTATATACTGGGTGAGGCGGAAAAAATATTTTCTTGACAGTAAGACTAAATTTATACCAACAAGATACTTCAGTGTTTAATCTAAAGGTTTTCAAGCTCAAGATAATCCACAGGTCAGCGGCCGACAAATCCTGGGTACTAGAAATGGAAAACCAAAACCATTGGTCACTTAATCTGTGGTGTGGAACAAAAGAACTTCTTCAAGAAGTTGATAACATTGAAATCCAACAAATGTGGTTTCAGTAAGATAAGTTAATATGAAGTTATAGGTATTTGATGTAGCTAATAATTGTCTGTTTAATAAAAGTTGTAGGTTTTTGATGGATCTTTCCGAGAAAATAAACTATATATCGTATACCATTGTGTCATTTAAGACAATAGAGATTTTTCAATTGAAAATTATTTAAATATACGTTTGATATACCTTTTTCGTCATCTTTGAGTAACGCTAATATACCTTCAAAAATAATCGCGCTAACGTTATCCATTTGCATGCGTGAGAAATTAGAATATTGAAAAAACCATTAGGTTACAAAACGAATTCAAAACACAATTTTCAAATTCCATTTGAAAAAATGTATATGTCACTTTTTTTTGAGCCACCCCCTATACCTTAAAATGATTTTAAATTGTGCATTTTAAAAATCGTATGTATTTTTCACTTTCTAGTAACTCACCCTGAACATAGTATGAAAGGCGATCGAAGATCTTTTATATACATTCTTCTTTATACACTCATTTTCTTTAAAAGACAGGTGTGTTTATAAAGACTTTTTTCTACTTCGACGATGTCTATTGTCGTTTTGACTTACACAATATGTGACGCATGTGGCTAGGTACCATTAATTTTCTTTAAAATTAAAAGTGCTAAGTGCTTATTGCACTACCTGCATCAATGTACGTGATTATCATTATTAGATAACACTCTCTTTCATCAGCCCAGATAGATAGTAGTCACCACAACGCTAAACATCATTAATGAAAAGAAAAGTGGCCAACTGTCATTGTTTTCCAATACACTCTATGCCAAGTTCTATACATGTCAATACAATCCCGTGTGATCAAGCCAATCTTTAATAATTCCTGAAGATTAAAGTATGATTTGAACTGTTGCACATATACTAGTATTCCTAATACAACTTGAAAAACTTTTCCTACTTATCTTATTTATATACTTTTACATATGCGATAAACTTTTTTTTTTTACTTCTATGCGCTTTCTAGCAGAATTATTTCCGAAATCGACGCTTACAGCGTCAGCGTGATATTTGTTGGCGTAATAGTGTATTATGCAACAAGTGCGGTAATTTGACTCACGAGTTTATTTGACACGAGCGGAGCGCAGCGGACTCACGAGTTTATTTGACAGGGGCGGATCGTAGCGGAACGAGTGTTTAATAAGCGAGTGACTTAAAAAGTTTACCGAACATGTTGCATACTATACCTTTTCTACGACCGTTAGTTTTTGGGTACATTTTCGCAAAACAACACGAATACATTCACTGACATGACCGGCAATATTCAAAGCGTGGAAAATATCTCCGAAAACATCCGATTGCTCCCAATCCCGTGCTGTAAAATTCCGGAAAAACATATTTTTCTACTCCCGTCTGTAGAATATCAAATTACACACCGATTTAGCGTGAGGGAAGCGTCACTTTTTAAGTCACTCGTTCAGTAAACACTCGCTCCGGTCGTGTCAAAAAAACTCGTAAGTTAAATGTCCTTTACCGGACTTGTTGCTTAATATACTATAGCGCCTCATAATCTACATAAGCAAAGATCACAGTGGTAAGTGTGGGTGTGATTTCAGAATCATTTTCTTGAGGAGGTTGTGTGGTAAAATGTATATTGTGATGAATTCTCACGTATTGATTCACGGATGGAAAAATGTGATGACACTATATTCCGGGATATCATCCGTTCGCTCGTTGAACTCCGACTGGAATCCTGCATCCGACTGGAATCCTGCAGACGTTTCGCCAAAATCTCACTTGGCATCTTCGGAGCGCGAGCATTGAAGATGCCATATATTTTCTTCTAAATATTACGTTATTTGACTTACGCGTTTCATTTATTTATTTATCTTTTTTACTAATTGGTCACGAATTTCACAAAAGAAACATCGCCATGTCGAGAACGGAGAATTTCAAAAAATCAGCTGTTATTAAACGGAAAAAGAAAATATACCTTTTAAAATAACAACTTCAATTTATCTGAGCGAGATTACTCCTGAATAACATTGAACCAAAACTGTTTACTTACATAAAACAAGTAAATAGATTAGAGATGCTTGACGTTTCATCTTAAGTGTTGTTATTCGATTATTTGCCGACGTATTAAATGTACAACGATTGGCCGGTCGATTTATATAGATTTATTTCTCGGTTATTTATAGGCTTTATCGCCCCCTCCAAAAGCAACCGGCATAAAGGCAACACGTATATTACCTAACTACCCTGCTAACACCCTACACAAATATTGTTTCCCCCATGCACTTTGTCTCACGGTGTCTCAGCAAATATGCTGTTTCCACTACTTCCTTTTTTGTCTTCCCGCACAATATCCTGAACTTTACTTATTTGACCATTCGGCGTTCTCTGAAGCAATCTGCACTTTGGAGAATATATTGTAAAAAACTGCAAGATGGAGATAACATTACCATTTATGGGATACTCTTGTAGATTGCCAGCTGACTAACCATCTTTTGAAGTGACCTCCTGACGACTTATTTCCTATTGGGGACTCATTCAGCAAATGTGCTCTTTCCACTACTTTCTTTTCTGTCTTCCCGCACAATATCCTGAACTTAACAAGACCTCTTATTTGACCATTCGGCTTTCTCTCAAGCAATGTGTTCCCTGCTATTGCGTTTTCACTTCTACAATCTTTAGAATCACCTTTGTGTCCGTTGTATATCTTCTAATTTCCAAAGTATAATAAATGCAACCCATGATTTATATTTCAGGCCTTATCCGCCCAATTTCAGGTCTTTATTCTTCCAGATGCTATCCCATAAGCATCCCCAAATATAAGCTGCTGTCAACCTGGCTAGATATTTCTACTCCAAGTTGTTTGAACTTTGACGCTTGATCAGTTATTCCGTCCTTTATTACAATTTCACATTTTTTGAGATAGCTAACGATTATACTGTACTACTTATACTATACCACTTATACTGAAATCCTTATACTATACTATAGTTATACTATACTTTTTCTTTTAAACTGACTGGTGTTATTTTTACCAAACTGTCAAAAAATATTTGTTGTTAAGGGTTGTGTGTACTGCTCGCAGTCTGGAAAGTTCTGTGCATTTATATTTTTTGTTACTTCTGCTGTTGTCTTTCTAAGCAAGGTGTTACGTCCAACAAAGATGTTTGGCAGTCTAGGACTGATTTTTTCATTACCGAATTTTCTGAACTGTTTTCTTCTTTTTTGCAGTTGCAATCTATCAGTTCCACTGTACGTTAAAATCATTTTTTTCGGGATACTCTCAATATCTCACTCTGCATAGAAAGTGCGATACTTCTCCTACTGGAGTCAGAATGTACATCGGAAAACAGCAATTCATTCCTTCTTAGGTTTGTTAGCATCAATCCAGGTCCACAGTGGAGTCTCTGGATTGGTGTAGCGTACTTTTCTTAAGGATGAATTTCTGGAAGGTCGTCCAAAATGGTTGTCCAAGAAAACACTGATGCACTGCAGAAATTGATTTTGCAGGATCGTCATGTGACTTACCATGAGATCGGGTATCTTTGGGCATTAGCGGGACCAGCACACATACAATTTTGGATGAATATTTTCCGTTAAAAAAAATTGTTCGCGTTGGATTCCACACAATTTGACATTAGCTCAAAACAAGGCTCGTGTTGATTGGTCGAAGGAAATGCTAAAAAAATACGATAGCGGTGCTTCCGAACACGTCTATGATATCGTGACAGGTGATGAACTGTGTGGGCCTTTCATAATGAGACAATATCCACAAGAGTTGTTCGCGCGCCACTGGCCACGTTGCATCTGTTTCTGTGGTGAAAGGTAAAACAGTCAATTCTGAATAGTACACATCCATTTGTTTGCCGAAAGTCTTCGAAGAAATGACAATAACAATGCTAGCTCTCGCCGATCAGTGCAAACAAAGAACTTTTTGAACATTAAAAACGTTGATTTGATGAGCTATCCACCATACAGTTCTAATCTAGCACCTAATGATTTCTCTTTATTCCCATGCATTAAGAATAAATTACGTGGGCCTCGATTTTTAACACCGGAAGAAGAGATTGATGCCTTTAAAAAGCATGTTTTGGAGGTGCCCGACTAGATACGGGAAAAGTGCTTTGATGATTGGTTTTATCGACCATTAATAAAAGAAGCAGTAAAGTTAGTAGCTTATAGTTTTTTATTACACATCCAACTAGTTTTTTCTTTTGAAAATTTAAAACCGATCTTTTCTGACTTTTGTTTAATTACATTAACACTTTTGTTATATTTACAACCTTTTTATTATATCATCCACATAGACAGACTTTTTTATTTATATACTTATATTTCCACATATATCATTTATTGCAAATAGCGTACAGCTAAGGGTTGGTCTTTGAGGGATACCGTTCTCTGGTACTCTAGATGTAGAATAGAATAGAATAGAATAGAATACAATAGAATTTATTGACCACATTGTATTCTTACAATTATGGCAAGTCATAAATACAATGCGTAAACAAAATATGTATATAAAAAACAAGACAATGAATAAATTATATAAGTTCCTGAGGGTGACCACGGACACCATATCTGCCAAGCTTCTGCAGAAAGGAAGATATTAAATAAGTAAGTATCGCCAACTCTAACGTTGAAACTTCTGCTAATAAATCATAGAAGAGTACCCTTTGCACCTACTTCTTTCAGTTTTTGTGGTACTGGTATATCAAAAAATACTGACACTAAGTCCTCTCTGAGGACTTAATGTATATGATGTTTAAGCTGTACTATATTATCGACATTCTCTTTCCACAGCCTGCTTGGTAAGAAAAAATTAAGTGTTTACTCATCAGGCATCCGTGAAGTCTGTCGTTAGCCATTCTCTCTAGCAGTTTTCGTTTGCTTCTATTGCTTCTTTCCACGACTTGGGATAGACATTATCATTCCAGAGCAGGGTTTCAAGCTGGGCGCTTCGTGCTTTATATAGATCTTCTATTATAAAGAAAATATCGTATTCATAAGAGTCATTTTCAGCAAAGTCGTTTTCATGACTGACTTTTAATTACAGGAAATCAGGATCATGGTTGGTTGCGTTACTGACCGGGCTAGTTTTGTTTTCTCAGCAGTTTCAACAGTTAACATCTTTAAATAACCATTTCGAAAACCACCAAATTAATTTCCTAGATGCTTACATGTTTTCCCAAGTTCTTCGTTGCCATATAGCAAGGATTTTAGTTATCAAGTTGAAAAATGTTATCATTAGATTTGCAGAATAGTAAACCATTTCTTATCAACGGTTTATCAACGACTTACCATTATCTCTGACGATCAAGTAATTAACGTTTGACATTTGCCGATCAAAGCTTCATTAGATCCGATATAGATGGTCTAATTGCCGGTCTTGCAAATTAAATGTACCGCTGAAATATGTGACGTGCAAAAACCGAGATCAAGGCCGGACAGTTTTTTCTGCAAAGGAAAAAACCGTTGACGTTTAGAATGTGCGTGTGCCTTTCAAAGCGTAAAATGACGTCGTTAAAATCGGAAAGGTGAAGGGAGCACGAGGCATCAACTGGCGGTCGGCTCGAATCGAAAAGTACGCCTCTACCGGAAATTAAAACGAAACTAATAACGATGTTAACTCTTTGGAGTGAGAGGAAAAAAAGAACGCGCGAAAGGCAAAACCGATTCGTTAAAACCTCGCAGTCGAAATCACCTGATTCGCGAACGGACAATTTGGAAAACTTTAAATTATGTGTAGATTTAGCTCTTGTTAGCAGTTCGAGCTGTTGAATTAAGGCGTCGAATTTTTCGAGACAATTAACGCGACGGGAGTTGGGGGACGCAGTTTCCGAGCGATTGGTTGGATTGAACTTAAATTAATTGCCTTTACAACCGACCTTTTCATATTATTCGTTTTTAATAACTTGGTTTGCGCTTAAGCGCGTGAGCTTGATGCCAGGGTTGCTCAAATTATTGCTTCAGTCGAAAATTTACTCAGCTGGACAGCTCCGTGGGTGGCGATTAGTCAATTGACATTGAAAAAAAGACTGCGCGAAAATAACCTGACCCCAAAATACCTGCAATTGGTTCAAAACTTCCATCTGAATTCGACATCGGAACAATGGGGGTCTGGTCTATTTTTTTTTTTGCGACCGACCATGAAAAAGAAACCGAAGACCCAGAAGGGCGATTTGAAGAATGAAGAAAAGAGTGCTTAGGCTTCCCGCATGATCTGGGGTGCAGTTTCTATGGATGCAGGAACCGACCCTGGCGGCCATGGTCAAGGCAGCGAAGGGTGCTAGGTTTATGAAGGAGGTTGCATATATATAACATAGAAATATACAGGAATTAAAATGAAAAAAAGGAAGATGCCGAACGCAACCAAACAGTGGCCACCATCAAGAATCGGATAGTCAGGTAATATCGTTTACATTCTGTTTGTATTCCTCCACAGAGCAAAAACAATGCTCCAAAAAAGAAGATTTTATTTTGATTATCAAAAATTTTAAATTGCAAGTCTTTGACTTGATTTGGAATTAGGTTGTATTATTTTGGTCAAGAGAATTTTTCATGCTTTTAGTGTATGCCTTTAAACTTCCTAGTTCGAAGCAAATTTGAGGAGGAATTGAGGTATTGATGATTATCTGAATGAACTGAAAACATAATTTTCGAGTTATCAATCAATCAGTTCGAGCTAGAACTCGTACCCCAACCTCGATCTCAGAGCTTATGGTTGCAGTAGAGGAAGAGTGGTTTAACATTCCACATGAAACAATAGCGGCTTGATTAGATCTATGCGTAATGATATAGGAGATGCCATTAGTGCAAGAGAAGGTCACACATATTGATAGGGAATAAATATTAAGTTGTTAATTGTCAATAAGCCTATTTCTTTTAGTAATAAAAAAGTTAATTTGCCTCATGAATTCGCGAGACCCAAAAATCCGAAATAAATTTCAAACAATTTCACCTCGTATTAAAACATATTAAATTGCCTTTTAAACAGCATTTTCTTCTTTTGATCTGATCACTGGTTTCAGAAAAAAAATTAATTAAATTAAATGATTAGATGATGATTGCGCGTAGTCTGTTATATTTATTTTATTTTTTATATTATTTTTAATTATTTATTTATATTATATTTATATTTTGATATAGTTTCAAGAAACCCATGTTACTATTACATAATGGTGTTGGGCTATTACTATTCATATCCTATAATTTTACGTTCAATATCATCTTAACTATGTCTGGTTTAATATTCATGTAGGACTTTTGCCCATTTTTTTTATTTCTCGCCTTGCTCCAAGTTTTGCCACTTTTTTGCGGAATCACAGCAACACTGCCGCCTCATGTTTGTTTGTTTTTTGTCTTTAGTTCAGTTCATTGTTCGTTCAGTGTAAATTACGTTTTTAGTGTTTTTTCTATTCTCATATTTATCTCTTTTTCCTGTTTTCCGTTGTTCACTATTTCTTCTCCTAAGTAATTTAATCTTGTGACCTGCTGTATCAACACATCATTACTTTTGTTTTGGTTTTGTTCAATTTCATTCTAAAATCCACCAGAGCATCATTCCAGATCATCATGCTATTCTGTAAACCCGTTTCCGGTTATTTCTACTACTAGATCCTTCGGATACTGTCGCATTTCTCATGTATTATATATATTATATTTTGTCAACATAGGCTGTGAAGATTAAAGTGTGCTCCTCCTCTTAATCCTGCTATGGTTGTGGAGAACTTATTTTGGTATATTACATCTTTATCATTTTGTTTTCGCCTAGATTTTTCCATAGTTAGTCCCTTGGTAACATTTTCTCCAATAAAGTCCAAATATATTTCGTTATCGTGATCTGTGACCTTTATAATTCTTTGAGATTCTGGTAGAATATTTTCTATTTTATATATAGATTAAACACTGAAGTCATAAGGGATCCTAGTCAATTTAGGAACCACTTCAAAATTGCAAGAAATTGCTAACTTATTTGCGAAACAGTTTTCATCGGCATACAAAAACATGAAGGATATGTTCCTAACTATAAATATTGCATTTATTTTGAGCAGTGTTTTTTTTTTGATTACTGGAAAGTTATTTCACGCTAAGTCATAAGAATGGTGACAAAACCAATGATTTCATAATGCACTTTGTCGACATTTTTCCTGGCATTGTAAAAAGTAATGTGACAACCACTATGAGTTTTTCCAGAGTAGGTCTCACATATCAGCAGGACTTTTCATAGTCCCTCTTCCTGACACCCTCAACATTATTTCAGATATATTAAAATCCTAGAATCTTCTGATTTAAATTGAAGATTTTCTTTACCGTTTAAACTCTATACACCCTAATATACATTTTACCGGACCCAAAAATCATCGTTTATCAACTCTCTTGTTTACAGAGCCCTAAAACTATCTCCACAGGCTACTGTAATCCGGTTTCATTCAAATACTGTTTATTTCGCGTAGTCTTAAGGCTCTTTCGTGTTCTTTGAGCCTAGTCAATATTTTCCGTCCGGTCTCTCCCATGCTGTAAACTCCTGGTATCTCAAACGGAATTTTGTCTTTGAAGGATCGAAGATTTTTAGAGATTTTCTGATAAGTGGTAAATCTAGTTTAACGTTATATTTCTTAAGAACTTTTGATATGCGGTCAGTACAACAGTCTTAATTTAGTTTAATTCTGGGTTTAGTTGTTGAACAATACTGACCAAAACTAACCAAATTAATTAAAGAAGGAACGATTGTAGATTATTAGTGTGATACTGTTTTTTACTTTTTTTATTGCTTTTTTGTTGTTTTCATATTTTATATAAGGTTATTTACATTAAGCTTTTTACCTAAGTTGGTGATATGCCATGTTGCTATTTTTATTTACATTTATAATGTTTTTTTTTTCTTGTAAATTGACTCAGCCGTTGAAATAAATTTATAAATAAATATGAATAGTAGCTTTGGTAACCACGTAAGGTGGAGCAAAATCATTCTGGAATTCTGCAGAAGAAAAAGGAAGTTGATAACATTCTCGAAAGGCCTTTAATATTTCTCTGGACTCCATAGACTATGGTCTATCTCGATTACTTGGAAAATGGGGCTGATTTTTAAAAATATTTATTTATTTATTTTATTTATTGATTAACTTATTAAAATTTCCCGTATAAGTGAAAGTAAAGTAACCTTTTTCAAAATTGAAAACAAAAACTCCAAAGGAATATGTTAACAAACAGTTGTTAAGAGTATCCCATCCATCCTTTTTATCATCCACCGCGGTTATTAACGAACGAAGCGTCAGCTGACGGTGCGGGGATGATAAGTCGAGCTCCCTCCGCATCGATCATCCTCAGGGAGACGGAAGAATATCGCGAGACACAATAGGGGGGCAGGAGAGGCAACGCGTTCGGTCCGGTACTTATTGTTATGGTTCGCAAGGTGCCGTTGTCGGAAAGACAGAGTGCGTGTGCTTTAAAGGACTTTATCTCCCCTAAAAATGTGTTCTTGTTTGGGACAACAAAACGCCGTACGTGCGATATCGTCGGGAAGAAGTCCCACTATAAACGACCGCTCAGTGGCGTACCGATCTTTTTTTTGTTTAATAGAGAACTATTAATCAGTGTGATAATAATTACAAACTGGCTGAGAAATTGTGAATGCGCAAAAATAACATATAGGTCTTAGTTTAAGTAGGATTTTTTTTATGAATGAGACAAATGTATACTTATTTCGCAATATATTTGAGCTGTTTATTTTGTAAGCGGCTTAAGTCCATTTTCATCTCGGTATTATTATGTTTGAAAATTTTATATCAGGTACATTTTCAAAATAATGTAAATACTGAAAATCCTAATTTTGAAAGTGACCTAAGTCCACTTTTTATTGACGATGTCAAAAAGTGGGGCCCAAAATGTTGAAAGCAGTGATGAAGGTAAATTAGGTTGTGATATTAAATTGAAATTTAAACAATAATCTTATATTTAATTTTTCTTCAAGAGAGGAAGAGGAAGTAATTGAGAATGAGAATTTACAAAACAGCACCTTCAAAGAAGGATTCAGAGAACGCAGAAGTATTACTTATGTTCAGAAAATTCGTAAAATTAAACGGAATTCAGAGAAAAGATACGATACAAAATCGGGAAAAATTATTCCTGCCAAAGTTTATAGCAACAAATTTACTTCTATGTATTTTATTATGAAAAAATACCATAGTAAAAATGCCCCATTCAAACTTATTGGCGATTTGTCAGCGGCTATGTTAGTTGTTGAATACCGCAAGGATTTTCTTAATTTTTTCTCATAGTTGCTTCACACGAAACTGTCATCAGCATGAGGAAGGGCCTCGACAATGTCTCTAGTACTTACGTGGTAGCACCTCATCAGCCATAAAATTGGCCATGTTGCCAAGTTTTGTTAACATAGATCAATAACAATGTTAATAATTAACGTCCTTGTCGCCTGAAAGATTAATCTCCGTTTTTTTAATAAATTAAATTTGGAAGAATCTAGAATTCTAATTATTTTCATTGACGGTGATAAAATGCTTTTTTTTTATTTTTACATTTAATTTCATATAAAATATCGCATATTTCTTTACTATATCTCAACTATTTCTATTTCTATTTCTATTTTTTTTTTATTATTTATTTATTTATTATTTTGCCTGAAGTGCTAAACGGATCTGGACACATTTTGAGAGAATACTAACCTAAAAATGTCACGTCTAAACTTATCGATAGAGGCCATATTGATTGTTTAATGCCGCGGAGTCATTGGTTACAATCAAGAATCTTGAATTATATGTTACACCTCTTCTATGAAATCAATATACGTAGTCCCCCTTCTAGTCGCTAGGTGGCACCACAGCTTTAAAGCAGAGCCAAAAAACTGTGGAATAACTTACCATGGTCTTAACCTCATTGCTCTTTTTGTGCTTTGGTGGCACATGTTCATTTTTATTCGGCGTCGGTGTTTTCAGCTTTTTTCAGCGTTTTTGGAAGTTAAATGGAGAAGTACAAGTGAGATTTACGTTATTCCTTATCGGATGAAGAAAGAACCTACCTACGACGAAAGATTAAATCTTTCCATCCGCGATTACATAATCGCTAGTGGCGTGGTTCCCATCAACGAGATTTTCTTACAATTGGGAGACGATTTCTTCATCGTCCGGGTTCCGATCGGAATCCCCAGAACTCGAAAGACCCCCCATCTTTCCCACTTATACGACAGCAGTCGTATGTAAGTGTTTCACAATTGGAAGCAATCCTTTTGTGAGGGGGTCGGCCATACATATGGTTTTATATTTTTTCGACATCGAAAAAATAGAGTTTTCTGGCTCGTCCGGCTATGGATGAGGCGCCCGGGATACTGGGACATAATGAACAATTTTTTATGGCTGTTGGAATGCATTTACTCCATCGTAAGTATATTTTTTAGGCCCTTCAATTAATTCTGATGTCATTGTTGAGCCCCTTGAGACGGATTTAAAGCAAAATGGCCTGTAAGCTATGGGGTCGATAGTCCCAACACAAAGTTTGATGTGTCATGACATTTTGGCAAGTCAGATTAATACCTTTTTGAAATCCGGTGTGTCCGAAGATTGTCTCAGTGACCTTTTGCGTTGATATCCTGTGCCGAAGAATTGCCCGCTCAATAACTCTCCTAAATTGAATGTGCAGATGAAATCTGCCATCAACAAAGGTGGAAAGAAAAGGGATGAGAGACTGACTGCAACAAGGGGTGCTTTGATGGTGGTTGGTAGGGCGCTCTTGACCTTACTTTTGAAACCGGTTAAGGATGAGTAGTACTTACTTCTCATCGAAATGTTGAGTAATGCAATATTTGTTTTAAGCAAAATACACCATTTAGGTTCAGTATATAGAAGTTCAGCCGCGTTAAGCCTTTCGCTGGTCTCAAATGAAATGCAGCCTTGTATGAAGGAAGTGCTCGTTGATGCTTCTTTGCACTCTTGTTTATATGGAGAAGATTTGGCTGATAGGCTCAAATCAATCAGATTAGCTGCAGATTAGTGGCCGAGTTAAAGTCAGGTGCATCCGGAACAAGGCTTTTATAGCATACAAATTTAAACTCGACCGTCCCACTTCGTTCCCGGAAGTTGCAAGGCTGAAGTGGGTGAAAGTCATTGTACCCTCAAAAGAGGGAATACAGGAAGGTTCGAGAGGAAAGGGGGTGGAGTTGTGTCCCCAGGAAAAAATAGTAAGTACTTTTGTTGAAAGATTGCACGAGTTTCGGGACATTTGGAACTCTAGAACTCAAGATGCACAGATTCTACCTTGGTTAGATGGATATAAAATTCCATTTGCGAGGCCAGTTATACAGGACTTGATTACGACAGATCCTGTTTGGTCCCAACAAGAAAAAGATTCAATTTGTAATGTGGTCAAACACCTGTTAGAGATAGGTGCAATTGCAGTTTGCGAACCTTGTAAGAATCAATTTATTTTACAGATCTTTTTGGTTTCAAAATTGGATGGTTCGGTTTGATTAGTTTTAAATTTAAAGAAACTGAATGCTTTTATTGACACTTGTCATTTTAAACTGGAAGACAGAAAATTAGTAGAAACACTCTTCACAAGGAAGTCCTTTATGACCACTCTGGACTTGAAAGAAGCTTACTTTCTAGTCCCAATAATTGAAAATCAAAAGAATTTTCTAAGATTTTATTTTGATGCTCTCTGTTATCAGTTTAACGTGTTACCCTTTGGTTTATGCACCGCCTCGTGGGCCTTTACAGAATTAATGAAATCTGTGGTTTCTTATCTCCCTGCCAAGGCTTTTCCCTCAATAGTTTATTTAGATAACTTTACTATTTGGTGATAGTTAGCTATCCTTAAAAAATGTTCAAGTAACTTGCAACACACTGATTAGGTTGGGTTATGTTATTAATTATAAGAATGTTTTACATCCTTCGAAATCCCGTAAATTTTTAGGTTTTGTTTTTTTTGAATCCCACCACTTGTTTTTCTGATGAGTAAGTAAGTTTTGCAATTTGAACCGTTGCGAAATAAGAGTCTTTGCCGAGCTTTGTGCTGTGCTAGTTTTCAGTTTGCCCAGCAGTTTGTTACAGTTGGGTATATACTAAGAATTTTTGAGAGAATCAAATATCTAGCCCTTCAAGACTCTGTCGATAATTATGATATTTGGATGATAATTCCTTGTAATTTACGGAGGGATTTTATGTGGTGGCTAAAAAGTTTACAGAATCCTGAATGCCCTGTAAGGCAGCAATGTTACAAACTTGAGATTTTCTCAGATGGTACTCCTTTGGGTTGGGGAATTGTGCCAGAGGACTTTGGAGTCCTAGGGAAGCTCAGTTTCATATTAATGCACTAGAATTAACTGCGGCCTCATTTGGTCTCTAATGCTTCGCCTCGTATTTGACTAACTGCGAGACACTTTTGAGGATTGATAACACAACTGCTATTTTGTATGTAAATAGAATAGGGTGAGTAAAATTTCCTGTTTTAAACGAAATTTCGAGGCGCCTTGGGGTTGGTGTGAAGAAAGGAGGTTATGGGTTAAAGCATCTTACATTCGATCTTCCGATAATTTTGAAGCGCATAAGGAACCCACGAATTTGAATTTTGATGGTGAATGGTACCTTTCGGACAATGCTTTTGATAAAACAACAAGCAAATTTGGATTCCCATAAATCGAACTGTTTGCTTCTCGCCTAAGTAAGAAATGCGGAAAGTTTATTTCCTAATTTCCAGATCCGGAGGCATCTAATGAAGACGCGTTTACTGTTTTTTGGAGCGACAGTTTCTTCTATGTTTTCTCCCCGTTTTGTTTGTTGAGCTACAGGGATCGCAGTAATCCCTTACGGGCACAGCCAGCATTGGTTTTCTTTTTTCATGGGAGGCGTTGTAGTTATTTATTGTTTCTAATTCCAGACAAATTACCTTCTTCTTTTGACAGGAGAGGTCACCCTTTGTGGAAATCCCTTACCCTGGCTGCAGGGATTTTGTCAGGCAAGCATTCCAGAAGATTTGCTGGATATTTTTCTATCATCTGTTCAGAGCGCTACCTTGAGGCATTTAATACCTGCATGCATTTAAACTTTGGTGGAGCTTCTACGAAAGGAGGGGAGTGGAGTGTTATTACTTCTCACCTAGGCTGTATTAGATTTCCTTACTATTCATTTTAGACAAGGCAAGTCCTATGGCTCATTGAGTTCTTTCAGTGCAGCACCGCCTTATTTTTGGATCAGATTTATTTAACAATGCAAATCTAACTAGGTTTTTTAAGGTGTTTATAATCTAAGGCCAAGTAAACCAAGATATAACAGCACTTGGGGCCCTAGTTATGTCCCTGACTTTGTAAAAGGGTTACGTTCTAATGACTTGTCATTAAAGCAATTAACTGTCATTAAAACAATTAAATTAGTTTTTCCTACTGAAGTTAACGATTGTACATAGAGTCCAAACGCTCTCTCTTATAGAATTGGTCAACATAAAATCATTTCCAGATGGATTAGAAATTAGAATAACGAATCCAATTAAGATTTCAGCTATAAATAAGATTCGACCTGTTTTTTAATTTTGCATAAATATGAAGATGTAAATCTTTGTGTGGTTTCAAATATATTATGAGAGGGCCAGTGCTTTAAGAGGCAGTGAATCTCGTTTACTCATTACATTTAAAAAGCCTTGTAGGGCAGCAACTATACCCAACAAAAGTAGATGAATAAAGATAACTTTAGAAGATAGTGGTGTCTACACTTTTATTTTTACTGTTCACAGAACTCGACATGCCTCAACATCGTCTGCGTTTTGTAAAGGTGTTTCAATTGATATGATTGGAAAAACGGCAGATTGGTGAGAATGCTCTAAATGTTTTCCCCTTTTTTATAATAGACCTATTTGTACAGCAAGTGCAGGCCTTTTTGTTAATGCCACATTTGGGACATAGAATTTTTCAGAAGGTTTGTTTTCTCGGATAGCCATTTATTTTGTATTTGTACTCGAGGCTTTCATAAACTTCCTGGATTTCCTTATATAGCCGAATAAAATCGTTTTATAACAAATTTGCTGAGTTGCCTTTGAAAGTCTACGTATATTGATTTCATAGAAGAGGTGTAACATATAATTCAATGATCAAACGAACTTACCTGGTAAGTGAAGTTCAATCGTAATTATATGTTACACCTCTTCGTAGAAATCACCCATTCCCGCCCAATTTACTGTTCTGAACAGTACTAAAATGCCCTTTGGCAAATTTATTATAAACGGGCTTTAAAATAGAATGAGGTTAAGACCATAGATGGCGAATATACCGTCCATGGTAAGTTATTCCACAGTTTTTTGGCTCTGCTTTAAAGCTGTGGTGCCACCTAGCGACTAGAAGGGGGACTACGTATATTGATTTCTACGAAGAGGTGTAACATATAATTACGATCGAACTTCACTTACCAGGTAAGTTCGTTTGATCATTGAATGAACGTTCTCAATATTTTTTCATAGTTACTTAGCATTAGACGGCGCCTCCACTATATCTTTTATTACTCTGCGGTTGCGCCTCGTCAGTCAGAAAACTGGCCCTGTTGCCAAGTTATGACGAAAGTACGAAAATATCCTTTTTTTATTTTTATTATCATTATAATTTTCTTAAAATTGTTAATTTTTTCTTAGATTTGTTATAAAAGGAAATTTATTGGTCTGAAGTGATCTTGGCATATTTCGCGAGAATAGTAACCTAAAAATTCCGCTTCTAAACTTAATTCATAACGGCAATGTTGGCTGTTGAATGTCGCGGGGGTCATTGCTTTCAAAAAAGATTTTAAATCTTGAATGGACCGTCTCAATTTTTTTCTTCCATAAACACTTACTTACACCTCATCATTCAAAAAATTCGCCCTGTTGCCAAGTTATGACGAAAATATGAGAATATCCTTTTTTAACCGAAGAATTGATTGTGAATATGACAGATAATTGACAGTAAGGTGATTAAATGCTATTTTTATTTTTACATTTTACATTTAATACGAGAAATTGAATATTTCTTCATTCTTATAATGTTTGATTTTTTCCTATTTCCATTTTTTCTGGATATGTTGTGAAAGGAAATTTATTGTATATCGAAAAATTAGGGATATTGTCGATTATTTTCAGATCAAAACGCGAATTTAAAAAATCGCTTTCGGCGACGACACCGTTTAGCAGGGATATGAAATTAAAATGAGGCGTCGTCGGCTTAGCGTAGCGACGGCGATACTTTTGCCTCATTTGGTTCGCCGATAGCGGCTTAATCGAATATGCATGAACAACGCTGAGGGTAGAGGTGACGCCGCTGCACCTTTAATGGGGACAAACGACCACTTTGCGCACCCGTTCCGTGTGTATTTGCTTAACGGCCCGCACCGCATAATTTCGCGGAATATAGTACGGTTTTGATAATTGGCCGTCGTTCGATACGAAGGGAAAGGACTCATTTTCAGAAAAAAAAAGTACTTTTTCTAAAACTTCTGGATTCCACCTGCGCCGGTTTTTGTTGACTAGCTAACCAATCATCCTGTTGGCTTCTTCAGAGCTTCATTGAAATTTTTTTTGTGGTCAGTGATGTTTTGATTATAAGGAAGGACAACAGTCGCTATTGGAAGGTCGTGGTGAACTGTATTTTGCGATAGAACGTTAAATTATTAGAGAGAAGAGCAGAGGTGAGGTGTTTTAATTCTGGGTTCAATAACCGGGACTGAGATAGTTGATGACAATGCATTAAGGTATCAGTCTGTGTGCGTAGGTTTTCTACCTATCTATCTGATTTTCTGTTGATAAGAATATCTAAGAGTGAGATGTTGTTATTAGTTTCTATTTCAATGGTAAAACGTATGTTAGGGTATCTTCTTCTTCTTAAAGTACCAACTCCATTCAATGAAGATCGGCAACTATCCTGGCAAATTCGTTTCGATCTTGCGCACTCCTCAGCCATGTATGGGAGTCTAGCCCTGTCTAATCTTGTCTCCGCCCCAGCCCTCATCTACCCTCAATTTCGCCTTCTATTATAAGTTTTACAAATGCATACTTGTTGCCTCTGGGTAGGCCGTTTTCCTTTTCTTAATGATGTTTATGAGGTCCCGTTCTTTGTTCATCCTTAGTAATACCTCTTCGTTATTTACATGGTCAGTCCAGCGTATTCTCAGCGATAAACCCATATTTCTAACACCTGTGATTTGTTTAGCGTACTAGTCTAGTCTAGTACTCTAGACCCCATACAATAGCACAGAAAACACATAGCATTTAACGAAATTATACCGGATTTGGGTGTTAAGGCTTTTGTCACTTAGCAAGTTTCGCATTTTCAAAAATGTTGCTCTGGCCATTTCTATTCTTGTTCTTATCTCAACATCGGGATTTAGATCTCCAATCCAGCAACCCAAATATCTAAAGTTCTGCACTTTTGATATAACTGTCCCACCTATGTCCAGAGGCTGGTTCGGGGTTCGGCTCATTAACATCGTTTTTGTCTTTTTTGTATTTATTTGTAGCCCTATGCGGTCACTTACCGTTGTTATTTTATATATTAGATTTTGAAGACCTCGGGACTGTCAGCAATTATAACGGTGCCGTCCGCAGGGTATATAGAGTTTAAATGTCTAAGAAAATCTACTAGGGATTCCTGACCATGAGGCCAAATAACAAAAGTATTTTGGTTTTAGATGGACGGTGTCGAGAGCTTTCTTCTCAAAGGCTTCCATAAATATATTCGCGATGACTGGTGATAGTGGAGAACCCATAGCTGTTCCCGTTTTTGAAGGTACACATGAAGTGGCGTACTCAAACAATTTCTACAGTTCCCCGTTTTCTCATAAATGGATACAAACTTTCTAATTTTATATGGCAGTCATAGTTGACTATGGTGTCTGTTGTTGGTATCTGTTAAGAAAAAAGGCGGAAATATGTGTGGAATTTTTTGTTCACTTCATAATTTAACCAATTACCGAAGTTTCAAAAAATAAAATCAAAGCCACTTTAAGGAATAACAGGTTTTGACTACTTTAAAAAATCACCAGAAAAGTCTACATGAATAAATACCGGGAGAGGAATACAATTTTGTATTATCTCTTGCATTATTATGGAAAGATTATCCTTAGAATCTGCAATAAGGCAGAATCGTTAGTATAGTAGGCCTTCCAGAACCAATATTTTCCATTTTGAATCCTGCTTTTCAGGGAGGATTTTCTGTTATTTTATCCATCATATTAAAAATATAGGTTTTGATTGAATCGCCCTTTTCCCGGGTTTAAATTTATACAGGGTGTTCGAAAATTGAGTTCGGAAACTTGGAGGAATGATTGGTAATGAAGTAAGCAATGTAACGAAATATCGAAGTCGTAATATTTTCCGAATTATAGCTTTTCAATAGCATATTATGCAACAAGTGCGGTAAACGGCATTTGACTTACGAGTTTATTTGACACGAGCGGAAGTGCAGCGGAGCGAGTGTTTAATAAACGAGTGAGTTAAAAAGTTCAAAATTCAAAGCGTGGAAAATATTTCCGAAAACATCCGATTACATTCAAATCCGTGCGGTAAAACCCCGAAAATGTCCGAAGTGGCTCGGATTCGTGGGAAACGAAACTGACGTGGTAAAGTGACGCTCCCCGCACGCTAGATCCGTGGGTAATTAGGTATTTTACAGACGGGAGTAGAAAAAATTCTTTTTTTTTATTTTACTTTTAACGGAATAAGCTGGTATTCTACACACAGCCCTGTTTTAGTAAAAGGGCACTTTACCTAAAACATTTTTTTAAATTTTGCTTGTATTTTATTTATTTATTTGTGTATTTAGAATGATATTGCAAAATGGAACAGATTGCCTTAAGCAGAATAACGAATATATTTTTGATCTTATATCTTGATTACTATTGTCCAGACGATAAAGCTGAAAATAACTAGTTTCTTTCTTACATTCAAAAATTCAAATCATTGATCAAGGATTTTGGGGTTTTATATGTAGACAGGTTTCTATTAAAGATTCTAATAACAAATGGGTTGTGCAACACTGTCTACTTATGAACAAATTGTTAGTTGTTAGATTTACCCAGTAACAATAGCTGTAAATATCGTAATTACTTTATAAGCCAATTCAATGAGCCACATTGTAGCCACAATAATTTTAGATTCAAATCAATTTAATTAATTGTTTCGCAATTAATGTTCAGCGCGACTCCAAGGACCATTCGCCCATTCAGGTCTTTCCTATGTAGATGGGAAGCTTTCCTTCCTCTAAAATTGCAGCTAGTCCTTCAGAATACATTCTTCCCTGTAAATTAATTGAAAATTGACAGCTGCTTGTCCGTTTTAGGAGGCAGCCCCATGCCCAGAAAACATTGTACCTACTGCCAAATTATCCTTGCCTCGTTTGTAGGATTCTGGAGGGACCCAGGAGCCCAAGGCAGTGATAGTCGACTACCTACCATCTACTACTATTTAGTACAATTTCGAATAATATCTAAAGCATTAGTTATGGGATGGTGACCCATTCGTTAATTCAAAATCGAGACATGATAATGTCAGTCAGTTGCGTCGCCAAGTCATATCTATCCTCCACAATTAACCTAGTTATCGGAACGAACCTAATAAAACCGAACGGAAGCTTTCTGGGTCGTCGATAAAGCTCTTTTCGAGCATTAACGGTATTCTCCATTACACACGTTCTCTGCGAAACGACTTGTTAAAAGTACCCGACGGTCAGTCCGATGTATACCTTTCCAATTATGATTAGGTGGAGACTTCGGAGAGGCACGTGACCTAGGTTCCAAACAAGGACAAACAACGCGATTGTTTTCAAAGAATTCACTGTTTGGAGTAGCGGATAACGTCGGGCATACTAAACGCGTGGACCAGTAGTTTTCGCTAGTAAATAGATATCGAAAAGATCGCCTGACGACTTCGGAATCGGAGGAGATTTCGAAAACGGTTTTAGTATACCGGTTGTCACCGGGAAAAATACTGATGGAGTCAAAGGTAGCTAAAAACGATTTGTTCACATTCAACTTAAAGAGGAATGAAAAAATTCACAAAACTACCAGCTTAACTATGTGTGACTCCTGGTTGCTGGTCTATGATGTCTTTGTTGGACTTGTGGTATCCATGCTCTCTTTGCCTCGA